TATATATATATATATATATATATATATATATATATATATATATATATATATATATGAAACAAAGCAATTTCTTTTAATACTACCTAACAAGTTCTAAGTATGGTTTGAACAGTCAGTCATATATTCTAAATAGGCATGTGGATTCCTTATGATAAAAACCTGAACCTGTTCTCTGAATTTTAAGTAGGGTAAATTAGTTGGGGGAAAAAAACATAAGTACATCATATTTAAAATAGAATGGAAGATATTATTGTAGAATATTTCTCTTCTGAGAAGACAAGATACATGATTTTTCAAAAATCACCAATTTGAAGGAGACCCTAGTTGCTGACTTCAATTATAACCTGGAACTGGCAACGTGTGCCCCTCCTTTGCTTCAAAAAAAGTATAAGAAAGGGTAATGAGATCAACATTCACCATTCTTGGATCTTCAGCAAATTCAGGATCAATGTAGAAAAACACTGGCATATCTACTTCCTCGTGTGCATTAAGCCTTTGTTCTTCAAAACAGAAGCACTAGAAATTAAAGATATTCATTTATTAATATTTCTATTCTATTAACTACAATAGAAACTAATGGTTCATTTCTTGGCTTTAATAAGCATACTGTTAAATATAATCTTTAAGCTTTGTGAAAGGGTAATAGCATCTTTTCATTTTCATTTCATTCATTAGGTTTGCTTTCAGAATTGAGAATTAACCAATTCAAATCTTAAAGCAGACTTCTCTGGTTTGGCTCTAAACCTCTGCATAGCTGTTATAAGCATTGGAAAAAAAAAAAGCTGTGTGAAGTTTAGGAGAAATAAATTTTCAGAAATTAATACCCACTAAAACACTCCAGCAAATTTAGTACTAAACACTTGTATGTACTTATATCAGTCTATGCAGTTTGCATTTAGTTGTACCTGTATTTTATTGAAATACTGTCCAGCTTCAAATGGTACAACATTGTATGTCGAAATTCCGATTACTGGTTTGTCGGTAGGATTCTTCGCTTTATAAAATGCCAATGCTGTCTCTCCTGGCACTACCTGTTTTAAAAAATATATATACATCATCAGCACTTTAAATCTCACACATCTCCTTTCTCTACTAAATTAGTCATTTTTCCTATCCATCAGACCTAAGCTAATGTTAGGGGTGTGAATACTACCCATGAATATGTGATTTTCACATTTTACTTGCATATGTCAGTGAAGAACCAATGCTCTAGTCTGCATACTTAGTTATGGATTGTCCTCTTACATATCTGAAGTCTTCAATAATCTACAAATTAAGGTATTTTAAATGTGTTCAAGGACAAGCCAAGCTTATAACAGCTCAAGCCTAATTTCTTAAAACTTTATTATGATTGACTAAAGATTCTTTGTAAAAGGTTACCAACATTAAACTTAGCTTAGAAACAAGAGTAAATTAAACTTATAACCAGAGTAAAACTGAATAGAATCTTTTTATTTAACCAAGAAGCACTAACACTTTTTTTTTTGGAGAGAATAACATTAAATTGCCAGGCTTTAAAAAAACCAACTGCCAAAGGACTCTGTCATTTGTACCAGTTCAGCTACTGATACCTTGTATTCTATGTAATTGGAACTAATACACAAAATCATAACCTATAAAACCCTCTATCATCAAAGAGATTCAGTCTGGTTTACTAACCTGGAGATGCACTAATACGAGTTACAATTAAGCTTTTCTGGCTCTTTCTCCATTCATGGAATCACTTCCATTAAATCCTCTAGGATTCCATTTTAAGGGACAGTCTTTCTGAAGTGGAACATGACTAGTATGATCACTTCAAAGGTGCTCACATTTATTTTTTAAGGGACAGGGATACTTTTGATGTAAATTAGTAAACTACTTTTCATTGTAAGCAATGATTTACATTTTTCCTGTCCTGTTGTCATCTGTTTCTGAGGAAAAGTCAACTATATAGCATAACAGCTACTCCAACTCTCAAGATTACTACAGACCAGAGAACTTCTTAGTGAACTCTTAATACGATTCTAATAAAAACATGACATTTTCCATTATTCCAGACTGACTTTTACTGTAGTACCATGTAACTTATAAGTATATTCTGGTACACTACACGTAGGGCACTGTCAAAAAGTAGTCTGGGGGAAAAGAATGAATTAATGGGGTCTGTCAATATTTTGAAATTTAAGTTTAGATGAGCGTTTCCTAAATTGTGAAGCAGTTCAAGTGATGAAAGGAGTTTTTACACTGAAAAAAGTCATCTTTCAGTAAGTGCTTTAATCACTTACATATATTTCTGTTTGCTGAGGTCTGAAGTTCCACTGGAGACTTGCGTGCACGTCTGCATTAAAGGTCACTTTAATGATGCGATCCTTAACAGGCACCATGTTTTCAATCTGGTCTGATGCATGACCTGCCGCTACTGATCCTCCCAGTCCAGTAGTCTAGAAAAAGAAAGTATAACAAGTTAAAAGTTACTTTTAGGTGCTGATGATCTCTTCATTGGATTAAAAACAACAATTTAAAGACAACTTAATAACTTCAGTAATCCAGTAGAAGCCACGTTTATGTAATATCACTGACTAATTCCTATGAATGGTGTCAATGGTTTGACCATTTTGGGAGATGCCACGGGCTTATACTTGTTAAAGTCCTATTTTTTTCATAATCACTTGGTTATCTGGCATGAACAAAAATGAGTCATTTGGAAGACAGCAGACTGACTCTCCCCTGATAATACAGCTCAGAATATTTAGTTTACCTTTGCATTAAACATGTTTTCCTTTATTGCTAGTATTTCATATCAACTATTAATAGAAATAAAATTTACCTACAACCTTGTCATTTCAGTAAAAGTATTTAAATAATTACATTTTCTACATTCTTGTCTGTTCCTTTCCACATCATAACTTTATAGCAGGTAAGTTTGTAGCTTCACTTCTATAGACTGCCTTTCTCAAGCATCATTAGTCTTTTCCCATGTTGGTGAATGTTTTTGTAATATTTTTCTGTAATTTTTGGTATAGGACAGTGTTTACAGATAACTATCAGAGAACTTGATCCCTTTGACCACTGAGTCAGCTAATCAGAAGGCATCAGAATCATTTGTGTATGACACTTTTCCCCTCTACTCATTGACATTATTTCCTTTACATCAGAGATGCTTAAAAAATAATCCTTACTTCCAGGGTCACCATTCTTCTGATGCTTGAAGTTGCCAGAATTCTGGTCTCCGGATAATTATCTGTTACTAGACTAGGAAAAAAATACCAAATTTGAGGGTAGGGGAAGACTCCCAGCAAAAGGTAGTATTACTGTCTTCCACTTGTTACACAAGTCGGCTAGCTTCACTCAACTGCCATGCAACATTATTGAATTATAACCCTGAAAGAGGCATCATAGGGCAAGCCTTGATTTATTTCGTTTAAGAGATAAGTATGTTCTGCCCAAGAGGGCTATAATGCTTAGGTTTTAAGATCTAACTCCTTTTCCTAAAGAATTTGAGTCACTTGAATAGATTCCTTAATGTATTCTTTCTGACAAGCAGTCTTGGAATATAAATTCTTTAAATTCATAATTTTGATGATTAGAGAAACAAGAATAGAAAGCGGTAAAAAAAAGTATGTCCTGGACTCCACTAGCAACAAGAGCCATATAAATCTTCCTTTTTGGGGGCTACACTTACCATACTCACAAAATGAGGTCACTGTGTTAAGTGGTTTATAGAATCCCTTATTTTTGCCTCTAAAGTTCTGTTTCCAAAAGTGAAAGAGATGCTCTTTTGGAAATGTCACTATTTAACATCCAACTGTGATTTAAGTTTAGGATCACAAATTACAACTTTTCATTTTTCTGTCCTGCGATTGCACACGCATGCAAAATACTGTGATTAACTTCAGTTTGGGGCAGGATTTCTCCACCTTGGCACTAATGACATTTTGGGTTGAATAATTTTTTGGGGTGTGTGTGTAGGGGGGGAAGAGTGTCCTGTGCAGATGTTTGGCAGCATCCCTAGCCTCTACCTACCAATAGCATCCTCCCACCTCACTTCCCAGGGTGTGACAGCCAAAAATGTCTAAGACGTTGCTAAATATTCCGAGGAATAAAACTGACCACCGCCCTCCCCTACGTGCTTTGCAGAGATCTATACTTGCTGTTTTGGATTCAGTTCCGCTTACTTAACCAATTGCTGGTTTTGGGATTCATGCTTGGTCCAGGCTGGCCTCCGATGAAAACTAATTTACACTACACTCGTCCTCCAGAAGTCAAGCTATTGTGCTTTCCCACATGAATGCTGATATTAGGCAACTGAAAAATCCTTTTGACTTCGGTTTCAGTCATTATAGAAAATAAAGGCAAGTGAATCTCTGCAAGCATTGAGAAGTAAGCCACGTATTAACCACAGTGGCAGCAATGATTGAGGCATTTTTTAAATATCACTAATGCCTGACTCCCACTCCAAGGCCCTCTGATTTAATTGGTTAGGGATGTGACCTGGATGGCAGGATTTTTAAAAGCTCACCAGGTGAGTCCCATGTACAACGATGTGGGAACCCCTCTCACACTGATGAACCCAATGTGTAGCTCTCGTTGGTGGCATGTTTTTAACCAGCAATTCTTGGTGCCTTCCCAGACCTAATCAGAATCCCTGGGTAGGAGAGCCCTGGCATGTTTACTTGAGCTCCACTGGTGATCCTAATGCCCAGCCAAAGCATCAAGCTACTAAAGAACGAATGAGAATATATGTGCTATAGGTGAAGTCCGCCTTTGCATCAAAATCAGCTAGTGGACTTATTAAAATACAGATGGCTGTGCCCTGCCTTCCCCAGGAGTTCCTGATCCAGTGGTTCTGGAGTTGGCCCAAGAACTTGCACTCAAGATTCCCAGGTTCTGTTGACGCTGCTGGTCCGTGGGAAGACACTTTGAGAACGATTTAGTTTCTTCTGGTCGAAAAGGGAGCCCAGGGTAAGCACATTCTAGTTATATATTAACGGGGGTGGGGGTCCTGAAAGGTCAAATTTACGCCTCTGTGGCTAAAAAGCTACTCCCAGATGAAGCACAAGTAAATCGCATATTCCCGTTTCCAGGGTTAATGTTGGCACATAAACCACATGTGGTTCACAGAATGAATGAATCAACATAAAAGACATTTCAAGAGCGAGCAGGTGTGTGAGCTGCCGGAGGGTGCGGCAGGTAAGATTGCTGGATCCTCTTTGGGGCGCTATGTCTCCGAGATCAAAGAATTTCACGCTGCAGGGTGGTTGGTATCAGAACCACCACTACAGGGGCCTGAGTTCCGCTTGCAGCCTTCCTTGGTGACCTTGGACAAGTCACCTTTTTGAGCCTGTTTCCTCTGGCAGATAACCTCGGGCACCGCCTTCCAACACGACACAGCCCGGCGGGCAGAGCCAGCGCCTACCTGGCAGTAGAGTCGATAAAGGGGCACCGCGGCATAGGACGCCCCCAGCATGCCCACGGCGGCCGCGGCCACGTACGTGAGGACGGTCTTGTTCCGCCGCCGCCACTCCTCCTCCTGCGCGCGCGTGAACGGGTTTGTGCTCTTCGGCCGCCGGGGCGCCTGCACGGCCAGGTCCCGGGCCACGCTCGGGCGCCCCCATGTCCCGAGCCGCCTCGGCCCGCTCTCAGCGCCACCTGGCCCGCTCCCCCCCTGCCTCAGATGCGGCTCTAGCCTCTCCGCGACGCTCGTCGCGGGCCCGGGGTGGCTCCGGCGCCAGCCGCAAAACGCGACGCGCCTCCATCCTGGACGCCAGAGCCCTCCCATGGCGCCCGGAAAGAACACCCGCCCGTCGCGGCCGAGGTCAGGTCTCGCGAGAGGCCGGCTCGGTCTCGCGATCCCTGAGACGAGCCTCCCGCTGCCTTGGCTACCGGGCTCCTCCGGAGGCAGCGCTTGTAGTTGAGCTACGGAGGCCGGGTGGCCCGGTTGCGGGTAAGTTCGCGTTTTGCTTCCCGAACGTTCCTCCCACGCTGCGTCCCTCCAGCACCCATGGAACTTACTTTTAGGAAGAGCGCTTTCCATGGCCTCCGCGTGCATCCATCATCACTGGGGGGTCGTGTCCCTGATTTTCCTAAACTCCATCAGCCTTTGTCTCGACCTAGCGGCCCCTAGCGGCCGCTGTCCCGCGGTCCTGTTCACTTGGGGTGCCCTGGCCGCTGACCTGTTCACTTCCTGCCCTGGACCTGGGCTCTAGGGTCACTTGTCCCGGCAAGCCTTCCTGTGTGAGCCACAGCCCACTGGAACACTCACATGCACACTTTCCCAGCCACTGGGAGTCGGCTTCCACTGCCCTTCAGCCCCTTCGCTACTTGCCCGGTGCAAATCACCGCTGGTGGAGCTGGAGAGACGTTGTCAAACTGAAGTTTGTTTAGAGAGTGACCAGACCAGGATGTGAGGATCATCTTGGAAAAGAAACGTGTGTCGGGGGGATGTAATAGGTTTCGTCCGTTGTCCCACAGGACAAACCAGGACCTGAGGGGAACAGACAGCATAGCCGGTTTTGCTGTAATGGAAATAAGCATCTTTTTAGGAACTGTACAGTAGTGGTTAAGAGCTCAGATTCTGAGGTTAGTCAAGGCTGAATTCATACTGGAGTTGTCACTTTTCCTTAGTCCGGTTATGTGACCTAAGACAGACGTGATGGCTTTATTTGTAAAATAGGAATTCTGATAGCAAATGAGAATATGCATGTAAAGTGATTTTCACAGAGCCTGAGGCATAGTAAAAAATTTGCAAACGTTAGGCTTTTTCTAATGACCACAGAAGGTATAATTATCCCTACTTGATGTGTGAGGGAAGTGAAGGCCTGAGGACTTAAATGACTTTAAGTCACTCAACATTTATTTTACTTATTTCACTCTTTACTGTGGGTCAGATCCTGTTCAAGCTACAACGTAAGAAAAGTCAAACAAGATCAGTTCTGTGTTATGAGTGTACTTTCTTCTGAGGGCTCAGTTAGGTAATCAAGTAACAGATACATAAGGGAATTTCAGATAACAATCTGTACCGTGAAGACAATGGAAGAAGATAGTGATAATGAGGAGGAGGAGGAAAGTCAAGTCTTACTGAAGATGTGACATTGGAGCCTAGTCCTGAATGATGATAAGGAGCTATCTCTACACAGTGACAATCCCAAGCCATTCAAAGGCTCAGAGGCAAGAAAGAGCTAGATACCGCTGAAGAGCGAAAAGGAGGCCAGTGTGTTCCGAGCTTTGGTGAGTGAGCAGGAAGGAAAATGGTAGGAAATGGGGTCAGAGCAGGCGTACAGGGGCCAGATCAGACTGAGCCTTTCAAGCCATATCCAAGGGTTTGGATTTTATTCTTAAGTAATAGGAAGCTATTGGTGAGTTAGCAGCTTGTAAGTGATAATGAGCTGATATTGGTTATGTTGTGGAGAATGGAAGTAGAATAGTTAGTAGGCCATTGCAGTGGTCCAGGTGAGTGATGATGGTCACCTTGAGTGAGTAATTGATTAACTTGTGATCACGAGGTCAGAAATTTTCAAAACCAGTGAAATCCAAATACCTTCTGACTTTTCCACTCTGGCACAAAAATCTCAAGATTCTATTATTCTACAAACTTGTTTGTATTGTTTTATGTGAATGTTTGAAAATCGTTTTCATCTGTAGCTCCCGTAGTTCTTACATCAGATTGTCAGCTCTTTCAGGACAAGACCTGTCATATTTTAAACTTCTTACAGCGTGGAGTCCACCCCCATACAAACATTAATGTCAGTGAAAGTAACAATACATTCCCTTCAATGTTCTTTTTCTCTAGACAACCCTTGCATGTAACAACAGGTAGAAGTACCTATAAGTATGTCAGTCTTGGTGTCTTTGTCATAGACCCTTCTATTATTTTATTTTATTTTGTAATTGCAAATGAAACTACCCTTTTCCAAGGTACAGTAACCTTGATAGCAGTAAAATGGTGTCGGCCGCAATTCTTGTGAGTTTGAGTGTGCTTGTGATATTGCATAAATCAGTATGATAACTAATGCTAAACAGTGGGTTCTACCTTGACTGGAAAGGGAACACCTCAGGCCAAGGTTAGTACAACCCTGTTCTGCAGGTAGAGGTATTGAACACAAACTTACAATGTCAGGGACCAGGCTGAGATTTCAGATTTGGCATCTTTAATTTGTAATGCCATTCTTCAGCAGTAAATAATTAATCCTCTGAACACTTTCTAGTTAGCTATGATGATGTCTAATTTTGCATAGTAGGTTAAATAGGCTATTTTTCATACAAACCGTTTTGGGAGCGGGGGTTGAGCAAAATGGGTAAAGGTGGAAAAAGAAATTTTGATAGTCACACATGTTCTCTTATCTGATTATTAGTTTTCAGGCTTTCTGAAGACTTAAGGGTTATAAAGATGTGTTATTTTTAAAATTTGGTTTCTGATTACTTTCTTGGCATTTTTAGTGGATAATATAAATTCAGGAAATTGCAACTTAAATCTTAATATGTTAGCCACTGAGCTGTATTGCTTAACTGGCTGTTTGCCTAATAAAGCTACTCAACAACTGTTTATTTGGTAGCTATTTATTACAATAACTTTCTTGTACCTAAAAGAGGAAGAGGAATGCATTGGAATAAATAGTGTGAACAAATGAATTCTAGTTTGCTTGAGAATAGGCTAGATAATCACTGTTTCCCGATTAGATTAGAGCACACAACTGTCCTGAAGTTGCCTCAGTAAGTCTTGATATCCTAGTTTCTGATTTCCTGGCATCTTCCTTTAAGCCACATGTTTCAGGGGCTACTCCATTTAAAAGATATGGGACAAGTTTTTATGACAGATAAGGTGAAATGAAAGCAGAAATCATTCATCAGTAGAAGGCATTTGTTTTTTTCAAGTAAAATTGATCAAGATCAGGGTGCATGACCTGCGCAGCTGCACAAAGCCCTACTCTTACAAGGGACGCTGGCTTAGTTGGACCCTGTACTTGATTTAATTCTCTGCTGTCACTATCTTGAAATAATTAATTTTTTTAAACAGGGGCCTTGCATTTTCATTTTGTGCTGTCCCTCAATATATTATATCCCAAATGAACTGATTGACATTCTGACATAATTCAAGCGAAGAACAGTCAGATAGTCAGCCTATCTGGAATAAACAGAGGTTAAAGGTAAGAGATAAGACAAAAGCAAATTCAGGTCTGAGAACAGTCAGGTTGTATGAAATAAGCTCAAGCAAAATTCCAAACGCCTTACCATGGCCCATAAGACCCTAGAGCCTGCCTACTTCTCAGATTTCATCTCCGACCTGTCTGCATTCACCATGCTCCAGCCACACGTCTTTCTGCCCTGTAAACACCCCAGATTTGTTTTGCTGCCTTGAGACCTTTTCTCAGTTGGGAGTACTTTGTCCCTCCGTTTTTCTCCTGGCTGATCTATTATTTGGATCTTGGCTGGAACACCACTACCCGATCTAAATGAGCACTCCTCTGTCCAGTCAGACTTGATCATATCACCTTCTGGTATCTGAAAGTTAGTTCATTTTGCTGTTGCCTTTTTTACTGTTTTTCTCCCGACACTAGAATGTAAATACCGTTAGAGCAGGTACCTGGGACTGTTCACTGTAATAACACAAGCCCTCGATTAGTCACTGCACATGATTGTACTGAGTACATGGCTGGTGGGTATGTGCATGAATGAAGCAAGCAGAAAGCAGTCAGATAGTCTCAGGAAACTCCTGAGAACTGCAAGCTGTTGCTCTGATGACAAGCTCGTGTTTCAAGAAGCCCAGGACTCCTCTGAAGCAGTTTTCTGGTGTTCCCACAGGGCTGGGCTGTGTGTTACAGGCAGATGCTATGCGACCATCCCCAAATGTAAATGAGCAGCATTCCTGAACTGTTCAGATTCCTGAAAGAACAAAAATGCACTGGTAGCTGGAAAAGTGCCTTTGGGTACAGAATAAAGGAGATAATAAAATAATCCTTTGACTAATCCTTTATATCTTGATTTCCTGAAACTTTAAAAAAAGATCAAGTAAGTAAAGCCTAGCCTAGGGAAGGGAGTGATTCCTGATTTTGCCAATGTTCTTACACAACTCTAGGATTATATAAATAGCTAATGCTATCTGAGGAATCTCTGATGTGATAAGGTATACAAACTGTATTAGTGCCAGTGAATCTGTAAATAGTAGGCATTTATAACTTGTCAGTCACAGAATCGCAACCGAGTGTTTATTGGGTAACCAGCACCATTGTGCTCTTCTCTATTGAAATGACCTTAATGTAAAATTTCACTTCTCTTTTTCCACCCGGCGAGTTGCTTCCTGATGACTTGACTTCAGATGCCCCATCCCATTCATGGACCAGACTCATCTTAGAGGTTTTCAAAAGAAGCTTAAAAAGGAAAATCCTCCCTTCAAAAACCACTTGGGGCCTTGTAGTTTAGTGAACCTGGAATAGAATTTTTGATTCATAGAGCCAAAAAAGAACCTTTGTAGGTCATTTTATGAATGATCTTGTCATTCTACACATGAAGAAACTGAGCAACAGAGTCGTTAAGTGGCTAGTCAAAGTCACGTGGCTACTGGCCTGCAGAAATGGGACTCAACCTTGGGTGTTTCACCTTCTGGACCAGCGGTCTTCCTGTTGCAATGCACTTCCAAGTATAAATCCAGTGGCAAGGAGAATTCCAAAGCGATTTGTTTTTTTAAAACAATAATTTCATGTGAAATTAGCATTAAATACTGGAATTAAATTCTTCCCTTTATTCATTAACATTGTGCGTTTATACTGTTTATAACCTGTCACTCATATTGGTGGACTCTTTAGAGGGTAAGAAAATGCAAGCCAAGGTCAAGGTGCATTTTTAACTGAAAATCCTTTTTTTAAAAAATTTTAACTTTATTAAGGTATAGTTGATTTATAGCAAACAGCACATATGTAAAGTGATACATTTTAGTAAGATTTGACATGTTTATCCATTTGTAAAACCATCACGACTACCTACTGTACTTGTGAAGAAACAGGCGTGGAGAAGCGTAGCAGCTCAAGCTGGAGCCCAGGTCGATCTGATGTCAAGGTCCACGCTCTAGTCTGCGAAGCCTGAGTTCTATCTGGAAAAACAGCCATTGACTGTTTCTCATTCATGTGGGAAAATTCACAGTCTCTTTGAACCTAGCTATTAATTTCTTTAATAAGAGGGTTGTGCTAAAAGATCCCAATGTCTATTTTAGCTTCAAGTTTCTGTACTTCATGTTTCTTAGGCAGAAGTGGTAAATCTTTGTTCAAATACAATTTTCTAATTAAATGAACCTGCACTATTTTCTGTAATTTTCACAGTGGAGCTATAAGACATATTAAAATAATGCATTTTTTTTTTCTTTTTATAGGAAAGTATTAAAGAAACTAGTGGAATATAATATGAGTCAGAGTAATATTAGATCTGCAGGAAGTCCCTCAAGATAGTTGGTGTGACAATAGGAATTTCTGGCTTTTTCAACAGTGTATTGTGTAATGATTTTGCAGACATTCTACCTGTAAACTTCCTAGCCTTGTGCTTACAAGGACAGTTCCCTCAATCTTTTATTATTATGTGGTTTTTAAGCTTATTAAGGGTGGAAGTTGTAAGTTACCTGAAAGCTTAACTGTATTCTTCATTTCTGCTAGAAAATGCAGATTTTATAGAAATATAGATGTTGATAATGATATATAGCTCTATCTATCCTCTAGAGAACCCCCTTTACATTTCTCAGATATTATGAGCAATGAACAAAATAGCATAGCCCAATATATAAAATACATCTAACATCTATACACAGGCACATGCTATTTAGGTGCCAAGTGTATGTAATGTTTTCATGCGAAGTTTGAAGCAAATTTGACTGTTCTAAGACATAACAACTTATTTTCTACCTCTCCTATCTTAGGAAAAGAAGAATTTGTAGACTTGTTCAAGACCTTCATTTACATAGCTGTTGAATCCAAGACTACCGTGGTGCAACCATGAATGAAAATACATCTGCTGTAGTATCTTCCGGTCTACTTGAAAAGTAATTGTTAAGTTAAATTTAGTATGTTTTGAATTATCATAACTTGAAATGTGTAGACTATTAGTGAATATTTGGCGAAAGTTTTATCCAGTTGATGACCTGTGGTCTAGGAGAGCAATAATGAGAAGTTGATCAATAATCACCTTTCATTGTAAATCACGGTACAGGACAAATTCTGGATTCTCTTAGAATTATTTTTAGAGATTGCTTTTAAAAAATGTGACCTAATATTTTGAGTATCTAAAGTACTTTACAATTTCAATATAAAAATAACATAAGATTAACTTTTGCTGGTAACAAACCACCCCCAAAGTACCTTAAAAAAAAGCCCTTTATTCTTTGTCATGATTTTGTGATTGATTCTTCTGGTCTGCAGCAAATGGTGTAGAGTGGTCTCCTTCACATATTGTGGGGCCTCACCTGGGAAGGCTGAGGTCTCTTACGACCTGGTCTCTCATCCCTCAGGAGGCTCGTTCAGGCTTTTTCCTATGGCGGTGGAATGGTTCCCAGGAAGAAGCACAAGTTTTTGTGAAATGTCTGTTTCCCTCACATTTGCTGGTGTACCATCAGCTGAAGCAGTTTAAATGGTCAAGTCCAAATTCAAGAGATAGAGACATAGACTTTGCTTTTTAATGGAAGGGACAGTCGAGTCCCATTCCAAGAGGCATGTAGACAGGATGGGAAGAATTGCTAGCCATTTTGCAATATGTAACACACGTATAACCAAGTATATTCAGAGACGTCTTCCTTTCATTCTTGTCCTTCACTCTGTGCCCTCATTCCTTCTATAGATAACCACTTTCATTCTTGTTTTTTTTTAGTGTTTCATTTGCATAAGTAAATGCATACACATATAAATATATATGTACATGTTATATATGCGTGTATATGTACATGTGCACACATAGTAATTACGTTTTTTTCTCAAAGCTGTTTACTCTGCACAGAGTTCCACTATACACTAGATATTCTGCTGTTGCTTACACAATAAAAAAGCCCTTGGACTCAGGTTCATAGGTCTTCCCTGGAGAAGGGTGTCAGGCCTGTTAAACTCAGGGTGTCTTTCTCTGGTGCCTCCTCCTGGGAGCCCTGGAAAGCTCCTGTCTCCAAAGGGCACAAGCCAGGCCCAGCTGTGTGGTCTGCAAAGAGCGCCATGCACACAGCTCCCCTCCTGGGACAGCACAGTTTTGTTCAACTACTTAGGGCCAATCAAGCCCATGGGAATGGATTACATGACTGAGGTAAGATGTCCCAAAACACCCAGGCTCCACTAACTAGCATATTCTTAACAAAAAGGTAGCATATTATATATACTGTTTTGACCTTGCCTTTTTATTTTTAACTTAAAATTATATCCTGGTGATCACTTCGTATCAGTTTTATAAAGATCTTCCTTGTCCCTTGTTATAACTGTCTAGTAGTCCTCATGTGGTGGTACAATGTGTATTCAGCCAGTACTTTATTGATGGACATTGGGATGGTTTGCAGTGTTCGGCGATTACAAATTATGCCAAAATGAATAACCTAGTATCAAGTCATTTTATATCGTTGGCCAGAGTACCTTTGGGATACATTCCGAGACATGGGATTGCTGGATCAGAGGGTAAATTTAGAGATTACCAAATTCCCTCCTTAGGGGTCACACCATTTTGCATTCCCACCAGCAGTGCGCAAGAGTTCCTCTTCTCCCATAGCCTTGTCACCAGAGTATGTTGTCAAAGTTTTAAATTTATGTTGATCTGATAGGGGAATAGCAATACTTCTGCCTCATTTTAACTTGCTATTTTCTTATTATGATTAAAGTGGAGCAGAAGAACTACTATTTCTAATAGCAAAAAAAGTAATTAAAATTTTTAACAATAGAGGAATTTTAAAATAAGAGCCTTGCAAATAAATACACAGCTGTGTTGACAATACTCTGTTGGGATTAGAGAAAGAAGGATGCTTTGCTGAAATAATAATATATGCTGGAGATTATGTGTGTCCCCATCAAAGGAAATTCCCATTTAGAGGTCACTGGAGGGGCCCAGTGAGGTGCCTTTGTTCTCTCCTTCATCTTTCTCATTTGTAGGCTTCACTCCCTGTGCCCTTGCAACCTACTATCCCATCAAAAAGGGGTTGAGGCTCTGAAATCCATGACAGTAGAACATTTTGGACCCATATCTTTTTGCCTTCTTTGTAGCTAATTGACTATGCCCTATTAACCAGATAGGCCTTCCGACTCAAGAGCTATATAGGAAGCAAAATGTTGAAAAACAGGGAGTTTTCTAAGGTTTTTGTTATTTTTTAATTTCCCTTCATTCTATTTTTTATAATCTAACTTTTGAATATGAGTTTTCTTAAAGTTTTGCAGCAGGCCCTCAAATAACATTGTTTCACCCAACGTTGTTTCATTGTAACATTTATGACATGGTAGGAACTTAACTCTTGTTTACGTTGATTAGCCTATGGGAAAATGGGTTTCATTCCACAGCCTTTCGCTTAAAATGGCAGAACCTATCAACGTAAAGTGAGGACTTACTATAGTTAGAATTTCTATGGTAGAAACTAAGCTTTTTTTAAAAGCTATAATCATATGTAAGATATGAAGTAAATCTTTTTTAAATAGCTGCTTCAGTTTTTTGATATGTTTGAAGATAGCTGGAAGTCCTATATTGAACAGTGGCTCTGAAGCAGATTTCATACCACATTTTGCCTCTGGAGTAAGACAGATGGGGTTCATGTTGCTATTCTCCAGCCTTGTAACCCTAGGCCACCAAGCTAACCTTCCCAGATTTTGGTTCCTTTAGAAAAAGGAGAGTAATAATCTTAGAGATTTTATAAATACTAAATTGAATGGCATGATGTATATACATATAATATATATATATTGTTTATCACCATATCCAGTACCTAATAAATAAGCAAGCAGCCCCAAGCTTCATTTTAGACTTTATTAACCAGTAAAAGCCAATGCTCTCACCAGTGTTCAGAAACGTAACTTGAGGGTAAACCTTTTACAGAATTCTTTTGACAGTTTCTTTTCTAATGGCATTGCTCTATGTCTAACAGAAACTGAAGCTGGAGCAAGTTCTTTGTACCAGGAAAATACTCTTTTTAAATTAAAAGGATAAAGATTTTTTCTTTGAGATTCAAATGGAGGTTATATTTATTTTGCTTTAAATAGGCACAAACCCATCTTTTAAAGTCACTTACCTAACTCATTAAAATGTTTAGTATTGGAATTCCTCAGTGTAGTCTAAAAATCAACCAAAAGCATATCTTTTTAGTCACCTTGAATACATTTAAAAATATGTCTCAATAATATTTTTAAAGTATTTTTCTTCGTTCTCCAAAGAAATAAGCATTATTGCTGTAATTTCTTTTATGGTTTGTAGAGAAAATTAAAAATACAGGTAAGAAAATCCATTTGATTGCTTTTGTATCAACAGGCTTTTTAAAATGTAGTTGCTAGTATGTACTGTTTTGAGTTATCTAGATCTAAGAATTTGATTTAACAAGTATTAATAGTTTAAAGAAAAGGTAGGTACAGACCTCTATGCTAACTTGTGAATGCTAATTTACTTTATCTTAGGGATCCTGCCTTTCAGATGATTACAGTTACCAAGGAAACAGGCCTTGGTCTGAAGATCCTAGGAGGAATTAACCGGAATGAAGGTCCCTTTGTGTATATTCAGGAAATCATCCCTGGAGGAGACTGTCATAAGGTAAAAATGAAAATAAAAATAACCTTTCACCAAAAACAAAAACAAAACCACTAGTGATGAGGTTTGTTTCTCTGCTTCCTCAGTATATTTTTAGTATTAGCTAAATATCTACTGTGACCATTTCTCAGTGAAAGATACAAAGGAACTGGAAGATAGACATTTACCCTCAAGGTGCTTTAATCTAACAAATGAATATGAAATAAATATGAAAATAACAGATTTCAGGCTCTAACTGAAGGTTATATATTTTTAATTATATGCCATTCAACTCATATTCTGTATCTAGTTGAAAGAAATTATATTTGAAGACATGTTAGCTATCCACTGCTCTGAGTTTGGATTAAGTTAGATCACTTAAACTTGAACTATATTCATTTAGCCTCCTAAATTCAAAACAAAATAAACAAAACTACTCAGCAGATGAAATTTGTTCATTTCCGAATTTAGAGTAATTCTTGTTGAGCTTGTTAATTATATCACTAATTAGTTGCCCACATGAGAAATTAGATTTAGAACCCGTAGGAGAAATTAGGTTTAGAAATAAGTGCAGAAAACATCCTTTCTTAGGAATTAGAAAGTCTTACTCTCCTTTTTTTTTTTTTTTTTTTTTTTTTTTTTTT